CTCTGAGACACCTTTGGGTAGTGAAGGGCGGGGTATAAATCCAATCTCTTCTTCTTCTTTACGGCCTGAAACCAGCTTACCTTAAGGATCGCCTTCTCCTGTACAATCCTGCCCTTAGACTCTGGTCATCTGTGGAGGCCCTGCTTTGGTTATTCCTACCATCGGTGGCAACCTGAGGAAATGGCCCTCTCGGTTGTGACGCCAAAACAGTGCCATTCCCTCCCCCGGGGAGATTCTTCTGCCACCCTCTATTGGTGTCTTTTGCCAGCGGGTGAAAACTTTTTTTTTTGTTTTGTCTGGCACACTCCCCATAATGGTTTCTGGCCCTGCTTCTCGTGTTCTTTGCGTTTTAAACTGAATTTTATATTTTTAACTGAATTTTAATTGTTTTAGTGTTTTTATATTGTTGCTCTGTAGATCCTGATTCAATGCAAAGGCAGCATAAGACTGTTTTAAATAGGCTTCCGGTTTATGGCGACACGCTGGCAGACGCATCTCCCGGACCTCCCGGAAACCTTTACCTTTACCTTTCCCCCCAGAGATCAGACTCTGAGCATTCAAAATACAATGAAGTTTTATAAATGAATAAAAAGAATATACATGGTCTGTTCCAGCATTTCAGGCTGAGAAAGGGAACAAATAAAAGGGGGAGACACAACCCCCTCTCCCTAAACGTGGAACGTATCCTAAATGGTGTTTACTTAGGGCAGGCTAGCTTTACTTGAAGCCGCAGTGGTTTAAAGTTCAATGTCTTCAGAGGTCCTGGTTGGGACTTCTTTCCATTGTCCCTTGCTGCATGGGCAAGTTGGAGTCCCTAGGTATAAGCTTAGTCCATCGTGGCTTGTGCTCCTAAGAAAATCCCATATCACTCCAGTCTTGTTCCACCTACACTGGCTTCCAGTTTGCTTCTGGGCACAATTGACCTTTCAAGCCAGTTTGGTGTGGTGGTTAAGACTCTAATCTGGGAGAACCTTTTGAGAGACTTACCAGAGCACGGATAACTGCAATATTGAGTTGAATGCTTGGGTGGATGGCATTTCTCCACAGTATCTGTGAACAGAATCCCAGCATCTTCCAACAGTTGTCCCTGCCTCTAGGATTACTGCAGTGTAGTCTGTGGGTGGCTGCCCTTGAAGATGGCCCAGAAGCCCTAGCTCAGGGCTGTCAAACATAAGGCCCGGGGGCCAGAATTGGCCCATTCAGGGCTTTTATGTGGCCCGCAAGCAACTGATACAAGGGGGGGGGAGTGCTGGGAGGGACTGGGTGGAGTCACTCCATTGTGGCTTCGGCATGGCAGAACAACCTCATCTGCAGCAGTCAAGCATGGGAGCATCTGCCCCATGCTGCACTGCTGCCTCTCCAGTCCTCCTATGTGGGTTTTTCTCTGCACCCTCCTCCCAGCCCATGGGGCCTTGCAGTGAGGATACCTCAACGCAGAGCTTACCAGCCACTGTCCTTTACATGGTTTCTATTGCTGGTACCTGGCTTTACGTTTTATGGCGCACACGGCCCGGCCCAACAAAGTGACATTTATGTCAGATCAACATAAGGCCCGGGGGCCAGAACTGGCCCATCCAGGGCTTTTATGTGGCCCGCAAGCAACTGATACAAGGGGGGGGAGTGCTGGGAGGGACTGGGGGGAGTCACTCCATTGTGGCTTCAGCATGGCAGAACAACCCCATCTGAAGCAGTCAAGCATCGTAGGAGCATCTGCCCCGTGCTGCACTGCTGCCTCTCCAGTCCTCCTTTGTGGGTTTTTCTCTGCACCCTCCTCCCAGCCCATGGGGCCTTGCGGTGAGGATACCTCAACGCAGAGAGCTTACCAGCCACTGTCTTTTACATGGTTTCTATTGCTGGTACCTGACTTTACGTTTTATGGCACACATGGCCCGGCCCAACAAAGTGACATTTATGTCAGATCCAGCCCTCGTGACAAATGAGTTTGACACCTCTGCCCTAGCTAGAAGAAGAGATTGGATTTATACCCCGCCCGTTACTACCCAAAGGAGTCTCAGAGCGGCTTACAAACGCCTTTCCCTTCCCCTTCCCACAACAGACACCCTGTGAGGGAGGTGGGGCTGAGAGAGCTCTTGACAGAAACTGCTCTTTTTCAAGGACAGCTCTTATCAGAACTACGGCTTGCCCAAGGCCATCCAGCCAGGTGCAAGTGGAGGGGGGGGGAATCAAACCCGGTTCTCCCCGATTAGAGTCCGCCCATTTAACCACTACACCAAACTAGTATAGAATGCTGGGGATAAGGATGAATGTGACCAGTGCAAAATTAGCTAGCAGTCTGCTTTCAGGCCCGGTTCGAGGTGTGCTTTTTGACCTTTAAGCAGCATTAAGACCTTATTTGGTTTGCAAGGCTTTTAGTGGCGATATTATATGATAGAAACGTGGTAGATGTGGTGATTAATATTTTTGTGATGCTGATGTTTAAATTTAAAGAATTAAATTTGTAATTAAGTATGGGCCTCTAGGCCCAGGGGGTTGGCCTCTTGGTCCAGGGCACATGGAAAGGCTGAGTAAAAATCTTTTAAGTAACGAATTCTGATCAACAGTACACATATCTTTATTATCCATTGTAGATCAGTTTTCTGATCCTCTCCTTTCTTTGATTGTGCTTAGTTCTCAGTTACTGTCAAGTGTGGCAAATCCCTGCTGTGCTTTATCAGTGTTATACTGATGTCATCAAACTGGACGTCATTACAGTTGAAGCTTTCAAGCCGGTCCTGTCTTCCAAAATCCTGAGTAGCTTGGTTAAGGTAAGACTTCATTGTTTGCACTATACCCCGTCTTATTTCAAACAGCCAGTAGTTCAGCTTAGCAATTGTTGTGAGGAAGATTTGGTTTAAATTTATGGAAGTTCTTTCTTTGCAGTTACAGGGCCTAATGGCTTAGTTTCCGGAAGGGTTAGCTTCACATTTTTTTGGCTCTTCTGGAATATACCTGAAGTCTCTTTTAGCAAGACTATACTGCTTGCATCACTTACATGATAACTCAGCTCACCCTCCCCACTTTGGAGCACTGAGAAGGCAGCAGAAGAGATCGTATAGGCAGGGGTCATTTCGTAGAAAAAGAGGTGCAGGAGATCATTAGCATAACTTATTTGCACATGCCACACCCCCTGACATCACCAGAAGTGTGTCAGAAGGCAACACCCACCACTCAGGCTCCACTGGACTGTTTTGGATTGCTAGTTATTGGGGGGGGGGAACGTGCAGATCTGCCCTCACAGAGGAGGGAGAGCTTGTACCTGAATAAAACCTGGTCTTAAAAGGTGCCACTGGACTGTTTTGGACCAGGGGGCTGGGGAGGGGGCTCTGCAGCTTACCTGGCTGCTTCTTGCTCTGACTGAGGGCTGCTGGAAGCAGGGGGGGGGGGCTAATATGCAAAGGAGTTCCCGCTACTGTAGCTGTTTAAACACAGTTGTGTTATATAAATATTCTTTCTTATTTTGCACTTCAGCATAGTGGCTCAAGTGGTTAAGACACTGAACTGCAGGCTGTGGAAGGTCGGTAGTTCAGCAGTTCGAGACCCGGGTGCCGCATGACGGAGTGAGCTCCCGTCTCTAGTTCCAGCTCATGCCAACCTAGCAGTTCAAAAGCAAGACATTGCAAGTAGATAAATAGGTACCACTACAGTGGGAAGGTAACAGAGTTCCGTGCGCCTTGGTGTTTAGTCATGCCGGCCACATGACCACGGAAATGTCTTCGGACAGCGCTGGCTCTTCGACTTTGAAACAGAGATGAGCACCGCAATCCTAGAGTAGGATTCGACTGGCTTTCGAGCAAGGGAACCTTTACCTATAGTGCCTTGGACTGCGTTATTTTACAGTGCTTCCTTTGGCCTTGGGGCCTGACACCTTCTGTTAGCCTAACCTACCCCACATGGGATGTTTTGAGGATACAGTGGGGATGGGAAACTTATGTATGCTGCCCTGAGCTCTTAAGAGGAAGGGGGAGATCAATATGGTTAACTGTTCCTAAGCTGTACTTCCTCGAAGGTATGGTTTACTCCAGAAAAGAAGTGCCACTATATCTGAGTATATTTCAGCTCCATAGACTGGGCAGGTTTGGCAGTAAGTGCATAATCAGGAATAAAAGGGGACCGCATTTTTACCCCAATGAAGCTACTCTTTGTGCATGCAGGATCTCTCAGAAGGGCTTCCTCCCTTCTGTCCTGCTTCTAGGGATGTTGCAGGTGTGAAATTTCTGTCACTGAATGGAGAAGCCATTTTGTTTCCTTTCGAGAGTATCGGTTGCAATCCAAGGCACTGATAAGCACATTTAAATCCCATTATTTACCATAAATGGGGGGGGGGGGATTCATTGTGTACGTATTGGTTCTTTATGTCTGAAGCAGGGCCAGAATTCATTGGTGGTGCTTGGAATTTCTCCTCATTGTCAGCGTTCCCCCGAAGCTGTGCACGTGAGTGACCGCTCATTGACACAGGAAGCCCCACTCAGTAGCAGTCTGGAGCGGCGCAGGGTCTTGGCAATGCCCATTGCTTATTTTAAGATTGTTTGTTTGTTTGTTTGATTTGTGCCTTGTCCTCCTCGCCATGGCAGGCTCAGGCACAGGGTTGCTACTTTCGGGAAAGTCAGGGAAATGAAAATTGGTCAGGGAAAGTCAGGGAAATTGGTCTGAAGTCAGGGGAAGTCAGGGAAATTGTGATTAAAATATATTCAAGCCGTGGATTTTTGACCTGCTGCTGCAAGAGCACAATCTGTTCTTGTGGCAACTGGAATAGAAAAGTAGCAGAATACAAGTAGAACTTAATTATGCCCTTTCCCAACCATTTTAGATTGAACATTTACATAATTTTTAAAAGGTAAAGGTTCCCTTGCTCGAAAGCCAGTCGAGTCCGACTCTAGGGTTGCGGTGCTCATCTCCGTTTCCAAGCCGAAGAGCCAGCGCTGTCCGAAGACGTTTCAGTGGTCATGTGGCCGGCATGACTAAACACCAAGGCGCACAGAACGCTGTTACCTTCCCA